GTAGGTACAGAAGTTAGAGCAACACGGGCCCAGAATCGAGACAAGGCCCGCCACTACATGGACTTAATGGCTAGGGCCTATCCCCCGTTAGCTCGCCGTCGACAGCAGGCCGTAGATCGGACACATCAACGGCAGATCCGTGACTACGAGAATCGACACGCGTCGGCGGGACCACTGTCCCGCTATAAAGTTGGGGACTTGGTGCAGGTACGGAAATCTGCGCGTTCCTCCAAGATCCACCCGTGCTACACAGGCATTTACGAGGTCACGGAAGTTGGTGCACAGGGACAGCACTTCGTGAAGCTGATTCCCCATCACAACTCCCAGGGCCCGACCGTCGACACGGCACGCTGCTGCGCTCCGGCCCTTCCAGCCATCGCTAGGTCCCCTACGGACCCCAGCTCCTGCGAGATCACCCTCTCCTTCTTCATCCTCCTCCTCTTACCGATCTGCCTCGTACATTGGTGCTGAGAGTTTCAGGGAGCAGGATGAACCATCGCCAGCCGGAGCATAAGCCCCTCGAGCACTTCCAGACGCCGCTTGCAGATCGCTTGTTGCGGCATCGGTTTAATGAGGAGAGGCAGTTGCGCTACGACATCCAACAGGTGAACGTGCCAGCGCCCGGGATTGCTGATTTGGCAGCGTACTCGTTGCTTTGCGATCGGCTGACATATGCGGGAGTGTACGTGGATGTGACGCAGTTGCCTGGCCGGGAGACGACCCGAGTATTCATTGAGTTCCGTGCACTCCAGGTGGCACCCAACTTCGTGCACAGCGTCGCCACCTTCATCGGAGACTTGACGGTCCTACCGCAGCAGAATCGGGAACCAGCGCGCAGCTTTGTGCGCGAATACGCGGTGGAAGCGGCCAGATCAGTGGCCAGAGTGCAAGGACGGGGGGGACACCGATTCACAGCCCACGAAGCGCTGCTGCGTAGGGCAGAGGACGGACCGATTGCGTTGGTGCCGCAGCTCCCCGCGCTTCTCCCTCCCGCTGCTCCTCTCAACCTCCAAGCTATTCCCCCTGTCCCGTACTAAAAATGCCTCCTTTCTTCTCCTACACCACCCTCCCCTACCATCTCACGGAGGGCCCTTACCCCATGCGCGAGTTCTCGGAGTATTTGGTGGAGCTAACTAACGTGGAGCCGCTGCCCTTCGCCGACGAAGACGCGTGGGAGTTGCACCGTGCGCTGTACAAGTCGGTGGCGCTGGGGATGTTCCGGTTCTTCGCGTGGCCCAAGCCAGCGGAGAAGGAAGGGACGGTGGCGTTGTACCCCTTCGCCCTGCTCCAGACAATCGATCCGGGATTGTTGGAGCTCATACATCTTGAGCTCCTCTCCACTGTGCAAGTGATCGCGAGCGAGGAGGAGGAGATCCAACCACGATTGCGGACGGCGATGACCCCGCGGAGAACGTACAACGCGGTCGTCATCCCGGATTACATTGCGCAACGTGCGGAGAGATTGGAGGACTTCCCGGAGGAAAGGCCGTTGCGTCCTCCCTCGTCGTATCCTCGACCAGCGCCACCGAAGGCCCCCAACATGACGCCGAAGAGGAAGAGACGCCACCCGTCGCCAGGAGCGCAAGGAAGTAGGATCGGCGGCGGCGAGGAGGTGATTCAGCCCGCGCGTACGCGGATTCCTGACCCTGTGCCTGGGAGCGCGGCGACGCTCGTTAAGGAGACTATCGTGCCATCGCCGCCCATTCCACGTGTGCCCGATCTCAATCTTGATAGAGTCGGGCCATCATCAACAGCAGCAGCCGGAGGAGGAAGCCGAATGGGATTTCCGGATCCCATATCCAGMCCCCCCGTCCTCACGGGACCTCTCCGTTCCCGCCAGCCACCCCGGGGTGCCCCGGTCATTGACATTAGTAGTTCATCCGAGCCGGACGGTCCATCCGACMGAGGTGGACTTCATGGTGGAGCCCGCCACCATCAGGCTCGAGGCCATCGCGGGGGCGCCGCGCCCTGATCCGGCGTGGGAGCCATATCTGACACCCCCTTTCCAAGGGTGTATTGCGGCGCGATTGGCTGGGACGCTCATCTACGAGACCGGGCAGCGTCCAAATGCAATGTACCACTTCCTGGTCTTCGCGGCGCAGAAGCGGGAGCGGCGGCCTTACACC